ACTGACGCGAACCCGTTTCAGACAGCGGACCAGCCCTGCACATTCATTATCATCGTCACTTCAGTCCTTTCGCTTCAAAGCTCCATGCAACAAAATCTCACACTCTCCTGAGCAGGGACATGCTGCTGGCATACCTAAAACTCCTGTGCCTGACTGTGCTATCCCTGTTTCATATGCATGAGAATAGAAATTAAAGCTGATGATGGAGAATTTCTATCTGGTCTACATTAGAAAACAGCCTATATGTTCTACTTTCTACCAGGCAGTTTCCTCCTCCTTGTAGGGCCCATCCATATGCAGGTGCCTAATTTGAAGTGTTTACAGAGGAGCATGGAAGGGGCTGACATGAAGAGAGCTGAAAAGGGGGCTGCATTGCTTACGTGTCACCGCAGGAGCCTGGTGGTAAAGCCTACCCTACCAGAGCAATAACATAAGTGTCCAATCTGTGTTTGCTTACCCATGGACACCGATGGCTGAGTCCTGGCCTGGGGCCTGTAAATTGTGCCTTTTTACAGGCCCTGACAGCTAACAGGCTATTGGGAACAGGGCCCCAGTGACACAGCCACTCAACAGATTAGCACCTCATCAGCCTCCTGCAGCTTCGAACAAATACAGTCCCTGCCTCCTATAAGACACAATAGGGCAGCCTTCGCTAAACAGCCCCCCTGCCAAGAAAGCGCCCACCCTCCTCCAGCCGCAAAACTTCCTGCTCTGGTCTTTCTCTAGGCCACAGCTGCATCAAGGGGCCCTTCCCCAGGCCCTGAGCCCACCTCGACCCCAATTGGCAAGATGTGTGTATTTCAGGTGAGCAAATATTGCCACTTGCCTGAGAGTTCAATGGCCAGCCCTTTTTTGGGGGGTGGGGGGTTGCATATTGTGCCTGCCTGCTTTGCAACAGGGGTACATGTGGCCTCACACAGCAACCAGTCCATAGGATGGGTCAGGGGAATTCTCCAGGCACAGCTGGAGTCAGTAAATCAAACATACCTATATAGCTCATCTGCATTTTCCCAGACTAGGAAACCAATTCCAGCTTTCATTTCCTCTCTTCATGGCTTTTACAACAAAGGAATGGCTTGATGTGCCAAAGAACCACTGCATATACATAAAGCTTTGGCCTTTTTGTCTACAATACACAGTATTAATCTCTGACTTAAAGACATCATTTTCAGCATGATTACCTCTTTTTTGTCAACTAAAATTCCCTGCAAATTGACTCGATTTAGGCCCCAACTGAACATGTAGAGGAACTGAATGTTGAGCTTGTCAACCTCTTGCCATGTCTTAGACACTTTTGTCCCCCATACACACATGATTAAGGTATGAATACTCTCTGCAGTAGCTTTCATTTATCACCCAGGTCGTAATGTGGAAAAAACAGATAGGAAAAATACATTGTGTGCAGTGAGATTGTTTTAGAGATTGGAGTGTTTCTTGGGATTTGTGCCCTTCATCAAGGACAAAGGAAGAAAAAGTAAAACACACCGTGGGGAGCGTGGGTTATAGTCAGTTATAAGCAGATAACAATAGAACAGAGCCTAAGTATACAAATGTGCATGTGTTTAGTTTTTTTGTAGTATGGGACTCTTATCTTGAGAAATGCTTTAGGTTCTTTATTCCAGCCAAGATTTACTAACAGTATAATGTAACTGCATGCTGACTACATGGGAGGATTGTTTTAAGTCATCAGGTGAATCACTGTTTACTGGTCATGAATGAAAGGCAGCATTGTGAGGATTTAAGGCCACCAGCTGAATGCCACACCATTAAGTCCCTCACATAAAGGCCAGGACCACAGCTAAAGAGTACAGGGTCAGCTTAGGTAAAGGCTACAGGCCCGTGGATGCAGCCAACCGTGTATTGGGTTGGAAGGTGATGTGTCAGTGTGGACCGAGGACCACCTTGATCCAAACAGAAGTGTGGGCAGTTGTGTCCTTGGAGGCCTTCTCTGCCATCACAGTGAAATGGAACTGGCTGAAAGAGCAAACAAGATCTTCTCCCCATCCCCCCCCCAAAAGCCCAGACCAACCTTGTCTCGATGCTGGGTTTTTCTGTTGTTCTGTTTGTTTGCTTGTTTGGTCTGGAGCCCATGGATACCCAGCATGGAGTAGAGAGAAGAAGCAAAGGAATGGAGTATGTGGAGGAGAAGAGTGGTGGTAGGTGGGTGGGGGTGGGAACAAGGATGCATGACACACAGACCTCCCCTTGAGGTGACGAGAGACCTGCCGAGAAGCTACCAGGCAAAGCTGCTCGACAAATACACACAAACCCCAGGATCAGGGAAACAAAGACAGATCACTGTCGCTGATCTTTCAGCAGATGCCATTTCTGCCATGCACCTGATAGCACAGTTTTGATTCATGTAAATTCTATATGGACCTTTGAGAGAGGTTTTATAGTTTACTCTAAAGGGGGCATCTTTGCTAGAGTCAAGCAGTCTAATATTTAGGGATTTACACTAGTAATTTCTAAATCTTGTCAAGTACAGCACATATGGCTTGATGATAGAATTTCCGATACTCTATATTATCGTTTATCTCTCTGAGGAGAACTATATGGTCCACCACACATACTGTTTCAGAGATTTTCCACAAAGAATGTGACTATTCCAGAACGTCTTCAGTGGATTAACCTACTGAGAGTGACATCTTCTGGCAACAAAGAGAATTGCTGTTGATAAAAATTTGAGCAAAACATTTCATCTGGACATGTACTACTTGGCCATGGACAATATTTTGTGTCTGATTTGTTTTTTCTAAAAAAAAAAGGTTGAGTAAATTAGTTAAGATATTTTAAAAGCAAATACAACATTATTATTATTATTATTATGCAATTATTGTTCATTTCATCCCTAGTTTAAGAACTAGATGTGAGATTCATTATCTGTCTATCTATGTGCAGTGGAGGTTTAAGGTGAGCACTTTGTCCCATCAGCACAGGAACATGAAAATGACCTAATAGTGACAAGTGATGCTCTTACATGGCACAATGAAGCTCCAGTATCCAAGCAACAACAACAAAAAGTAAACAGTGTTTTTTTTTTTTTGTTGAATTAGACTTAAAAATATTCTCCCTACTAAGGTGAAATATTGTTTTAAATTGAACTGCTTACATTTGTGTTTTAAGAAAGGTATAAAGTTACCAAAACATTCACGTCCATCCAACCAGAGGAGGGAGACATTCCACCTTCTGTCCCCAAGTTCTCTCTTTAACTTCCTTTCTACTAAATTACTGCAGACGTACTTCATCCCACATTTTATTCTTAAATCTCTCAAACACAAGTTACACTAAACTGTATGATATGTTACAGAGGCCAGTGAACTCTGACAGTGCTGTTACATGTGTGCCTGCTCAGTCTAAATGTCTTCCCCACACAGGTTAATGGGGTCATCTGGCCAGCAGAGAAAGTCCACATCTTGGAATAATTCAGACCGGCAGATACCAGAGTTCTGAATATCACAGAGGAAAAAAGAGGAGTATATTCAACTGCACATCAGAGGCTATTAGAAGATAGCACTGCGATAATATTAGCCATGATTGTTAAGAGTGGTCAGTCGGTGTTTAAGTGCAGTAAACACTGGTGAAGGAACCAGAAAAGGCACATTTCAAAGATTTTGCTAAATTTTTGACAGCTGTCTATTCCCTGTAGTCAAACAACAGGCCCATTCAGAAGTACAGCCCAGAAATAAGACATTTTATTCATATGGCTGGAGTTCAATTCCAGATTGGTACTTGAATGGATTCCACAAGCGATTTCAAAGTGTTCCACAAAACCCCACATCACCGCCACCCATTTTAACTACAGTGAGGAACAGAAGTATTTGAACACCCTGCGATTTTGCAAGTTCTCCCACTTAGAAATCATGGAGGGGTCTGAAATTCACACTGTAGGTGCATTCCCACTCTGAGAGACAGAATTAAAAAAAAAATTCAGGAAATCACATTGTATGATTTTTAAAGAATTTATTTGTCTTGCACTGCTGAACATAAGTATTTGAACACCTGAGAAACAGCAAGAATTCTGGCTCTCAAAGACCTGTTACTGTGCCTTGAAAAAGTCCACCTCTACTCCACTCATTAATCTAAATTAGTAGCACCTGTCTGAGCTCTTTAAAGACACATGTCCACCCCACAGTCAGTCAGACGCCAACTACTACCATGGGCAAGACCAAAGAGCTGTCAAAAGACACCAGAGACAAAATTGTGGACCTCCACAAGGCTGGAAAGGGCTACAGGGCAATTGCCAAGCAGCTTGGTGAAAACAGATCAACTGTTGGATAGTGGTGGGCAAGTGAAGCCTCATGAAGCACTGAGGCTTTCGTCTGAAGTTTGCCAAAGACCATCTGGATGATCCAGAGGAGGCATGGGAGAAAGTCATGTGGTCAGATGAGACCAAAGTAGAACCTTTTGGTCTAAACTTCACTCGTCGTGTTTGGAGGAAAAAGAAGGAAGAGTTGCATCCCAAGAACACCATCTCTACTGTGAACCATGGGGGTGGTAACATCATGCTTTGGGGGTGCTTTTCTGTGAAGGGGACAGGACGTCTGCACTGTATTAAGGAGAGGATGAATGGGGCCATTTATTGTGAGATTTTGAGCAACAACCTCCTTCCCTCAGTCAGAGCATTGAAGATGGGTCGTGGCTGGGGCTTCCAACATGACAACGACCCGAAGCACACAGCCAGGATAACCAAGGAGTGGCTCCGTAAGAAGCATATCAAGGTTCTGGAGTGGCCTAGCCAGTCTCCAGACCTCAATCCAATAGAACATCGTTGGAGGGAGCTTAAACTCCACGTTGCTCAGCGACAGCCCCGAAACCTGACAGATCTAGAGGAGATCTGTGTGGAGGAGTGGGCCAAAATCCCTGTTGCAGTGTGTGCAAACCTGGTCAAGAACTACAGGAAACGTTTGACCTCTGTAATTGCAAACAAAGGTTTCTGTACCAAATATTAACACTGATTTTCTCAGGTGTTCAAATACTTCTGTTCCTCACTGTATGTCATTACTCCCCTGTGGTTAGCGACTGGCTTGGCATAGTGCTTGGTGTGGTGCAACAATCACATCCACTTGCTGAGAATGGGATCTGACATGTGAAACCACTACACACGCACACACTCAATCACACATCATGATGCAACATACACAAAACTACAAGCCAGGACTGCTTATTCATGCACGTGTGTATGCTGGGGCACACAAAGCCAAAATCTATTGTTGAAAATCAGGAGCATGAACACAAAGACATTTGGAGCTTGAAGAAAATGTTCATTCCCAGTTAAGAATTAAGGATTTTTATTCCATTGGTATGTAGTGAAATATAACAATACTGACACCTGCCAATCCAGCGGCAACAAAGACAGGAAAGGGACAACGGGAAACAGAGTCGTACTCCCAAAACACACCAATGGAGCAAACTACAGTACGAGACTGCAGTACTATAAACTTCCATGTGAACCAAATTGTAATTATACCTATTTTCACTGACAACTGTCTAAACAAAAAGTCTGTTAAATTGTCTACACAACATAACAAACAAGGAAATTTACACCAGTATTTTGTTCTATGTAAAACCCAAGTTGGCCACCTGTGGAGATGCAGTGCTTCAGACAGAGCATCAAAAAATGTATATTTTAGAATTGGAGGGTAGCACAATGAAACTCACAATGTTAATTCATTTCAGAAACAATAAATGCACAGTTTTTGTTAAGATATTAGGTCATGGTCTGTCAGTTACCAGTGGAAAGCTGATAAAACTTACACACTATTAGCTGCCACTAACAGATCTCATGGTAAAGACATGCTGATTGAAAATACCTGCTGGAGTTTGTTAAAGTACATGTCCAAGCAGCCAATACTGTGTTGTAGTATCAACTTTCTGCAGATTACTCTTTAACACTTTGCACTAGACTTGATAAGCAGTTTGCTTTCTGGAGCAGCGAATAGTGTTTCTATTCAAATGCTATATTCAATGGTAATATAGTGCAAACATCTAACACAATTACTAAGTTCATAAAAAACATACAAACACATGACAGTTCCAGTTTCATGCCAAAGGACAGTCTCACAAACAGTTCAGAAGTGAGAATCAAACACACTAGGGTTTGTTCTGCAAATCTCTTGTGAAAAGTGCCCTTTACTCCAGGCTAAGCTTTCTTTCCAACTAGTTCTCCCATCTCACAAAAAGAAAAGAGCCATTGTCACACAAAATAAACCAAAATTGTGTGTACATTAACTAAAGTGAACGTATGTAACTAAAATGAAGCTCACCTTGCATATTTTGGCTTGTGATTGTTCGTGATCATGGAATGTTTTAATACCGTGCAAAGAGAAGAACCAACTCGCTTCACTCTTGACAGTTTCTTAATGCATTTCTGTGGCGCACATCTCCGCCTGCCTGCTGGTTGTAGCAGTGCATCATGCTACAAATTCTGTTGGGTTTCCCCCACTTCTTACAGCCTCTGGAGAGTAATTCGCCATCTGATCGGCTGCTCTCTGCTTCTACAACAAACATTTCTGAAGGGAAAATCCGCTGCTCCCAAAGCTTCATTTCAAAAAGTCCCTATGACAGCCCTAGTCCTTAACAGATGTGGTGCAGAAAGTCCCCCATGTCACTAGGGGTCCTCTTCCATGTCGTCCAGGTTGGGAGCCATGATGAAGTGTTTGGGGTAAACGAGGCTGTGCTCGTCTGCATACTCCTCCCAGCGTGCATCATCACTCTCGTGCGTGATGTAGCGCTCGCCTCGCCGCGTCTCAAACTCCCTGAGGTCCAGCCACGTCTGATAGTCCTGAGGGAATGAAACAAAGTAAAGTGTCAGTGTTTCAGTGAGTTAATATGGACCTGAATTGAATTCTGACAAAAATGTGCAATAGTTTTAATCCAAATTTTAGTATGTTGATTTTGGTTAGAAACATTTTCATCTAGCTTTCATCTTTTTTTGTCTTGCATTTTTACCATTTACTGTCTATCTTCTTCATCTTTGTTGTGTACATTTACCATGATTATACGTTTTGTTCCCATCTATCTTGAAGAACATGGAAACCTCTGTGGTGTTTATTTAATCCCAGTGTCCCACTGCTCTGCAATAGTTGGACTCTCACGTTTGTACTAAAATCCTCTTCGCTCGTTTCAGTTTCATCAGAAAACATTGAAGCAGTGAGGTCTTTGCAGCGAACACTTGGAGAACGAATGATGGTCGACTGCCCACATTAATCCTGGAACCGAGTCATTCCTTGTGATAGCGAAACAAAAGATACTGTATCGGACTGAAAGGAACGTTAATCTCGCGCTACATCCACGGTGTTTAATGTTGAATTATCCCACGTTTCATATAGAGTGCTGCTGCATTTCCCCAGTGTGTCTCAGCTGTTGCTTTTGTTTAATTCTCTGGGTTGTAGATGAATTTGGTTCATATAAATTTATTCCTAGAACCGCTAATCCCAGATGACATAGACAGAGTGTTACCGAATGTAAGACCGTATCTTATCAGCGGTAGTGAAACACATCAAGCAGCTAATTCAGCTCCTGAACAAGAGATATTTCATCCAGTGGAGGAAACAGTTTAGCTGACCAGGAGCTATGGTTTGTGATTCCACAGATGCAGCCAGTTGTTAAGTTACTTCAAGCCCCTTTGGCTGTCTTTCACATAAACATATATATATAATATGCCGTGGGGGATGTAAGCAGGAAGTATAATGTTGCTGTGGTTTCACTGAGTGGGTTACACCTGGAGCTCCACTTAGCTTTTATAGTATGCGTATTATATAATGTGTGTTCAAATTTATCCCTCTATCACTCTAAGAAGAAGGAGTGCAATTTTAGATGCAAATTGCAACAGTTTGATTAAAAGGTTAAAAAAAAATAAAAATCTGGCAAATACATCACCTGTAACCAGGGATGACTAAGACACTTGTCCACGCTGTACCTCTTCCTCATCTTGACTTGGAGAAGATTGTTGATCAGATCTGTGGCTGTGAGGAGAAATAGATCATGTGCAGATAGTATCAATAAACTAATCTTACATCTGTCATATCACAGCATACAAAAAGATGTAACCTTTAGAGGGCCAAGAGTCTCTAAATGTCAGCCACAAAACAAAAGAACAGGGGTTTCTGTAGTTAATTCAACATCAACATCTTTATCTTGTAATGTATTTCACTGTGTGGGCATAGCTGCAGCTTGGGCAGTTGAGGAGAACTGAAAGTGATTCATCTCAACCACAAACAAAGAAAAGTCAGAGCAAAGGTCAGACGACCCAGACGTGTAGGTGGGGAGGACAGCTTTGAGACTGTGTATCTGAATATCAGTTTGACACCAGACTACAGGTGCAACCAGGCCGCCAAGGGCTTACAAGGACACACTAACTGCTGCAATAAGATCAAGCGTCGGTGAATATTTAGACGTTTACTTCAAGGCGGGGAGCAAACAATTTACCTTCTGTAGAGATGTCCTTCCAGGGCGTAGGGGGGTACATGAAGGCAGCGTTCTGGATCTGGTCATTAATGTCCTCATCTTCATTAAACGGGAAGGTCCCGCTCAGGCTGACATACACAATGACTCCCACTGACCACATGTCTAAGGAACGGTTGTAGCCTTTACTGCGCAGCACCTCTGGAGCCAGGTAAGCAGGAGTTCCCACTACTGAGCGCCGGAATGACTTCTCACCAATGATCCGGGCAAAGCCAAAGTCACACAGCTTCACCTGGAAAAAGGCAGAAAAACTGTTCAATGTGTATATGCACAAAACATTAATTCCCATACAGATAAATATATATACATATTTCTGTCTGTATGAACTGATTTTATCTGTTTTTTACCTGAGGAAAGGGCTCTGCAGAGGCCAGTAGTACATTCTCAGGTTTCAAGTCACAGTGAACAATGTTTTTGAAGTGCAGATGTCTCAGGGCCACTAGGATCTGTTGCAAACAAAAATCCAAAAGCCCAGATTTACCTCCAAATATCCTGAATAACTACACTGTAAACTCCAGCAACAAAATGTTTTAATGTATATAGTAAATGATATAAACAGGGTAATGTTTGTATAATCTATGCAGTAGAATCTGTGCTGTCGCCACATGGGAGAATAACAGCCGTGTAAGCAAACTAATGCCCATAAATACTTCCATCTTGACCCGTACCTTCATGTAAAGACATATGATGTCATCTCACCATCCTATCAATATTCAGGAGGCCTGGTGTAAGCTAGTAGTGCGCACATGTCTGGCTATGGTCCTGTGCCAAAACCACAGCGTGCCTGGTTCCCCCGTCCTGACCCTGCCTTTGACATAAGTCCTCCCAGCCACATCAGAGACAGGCCTGCAGCTATTGTTAATGGCCCCGCTCCTGTTTTGGATCTGGGATCCACGGAGGCCCAGGGGTCTGCTGCTCTTCTAATCAGGCCACAAAGTCACCAGCACACTGCAGACTGTAATCCACAAGCAGGGAAGAGGCTGCGATGCCATGCCGACCAATCCCGTAAACAATTCCCTCCCAATCAGCTCACCACAAGAATAAACAGGCCCTGGAGCTGAAGCACAGACTCCTCTATAGTGGGCTAACTCTCCCCAAAAAACAGAAGAGAACATACAGGGAGAGGGGGAAAGAGAGCTATTTTGGGAAATATATGGGGGCAAGACACCAAAAACTGCTAGCAAGAAGTGAAAAAAGGTGTCATTTTAAAGTATGAATGCTGGAAAGGCAGTGACACTTGAGGTTGATCAGGTTATCATTTATTTATTTATTTATTTATTTATTTATTTATTTATTAGGTTGTTTATAGCAATATTAGGCTTTGGAATATTCTAATTAAAGTCAGCACATGAGTCCTGGCATCTTAATGTCTTGAGAGGAATACAAGACAGAAACAGATGGCAAACACTAACCTGTGTGACAAGGAACTTGGTGATTCGTTCAGGCAGTTTGCTCTTTTCACTGGACAGGATCATCTCCAGCATGTCGCCATGCAGTTTCTCCATGACAACAAAGACCCGCTCTGGTGTTTCAAACATGCACTCCAAGTTGACAATGCCTGGGTGGTGCAGATTCTGAAGAAATTAATCACAGCAGCTTTAAACTTCTGCTTTCATAGCAGAGAAGACAAAGAGCTTTGCTCAAAACATACTAGCTATCCTTTGTAACATCTTAGTATTTGTTTTAATTTCATGCTGTTATTCAGTTCAGTTGTTTGATGGATTATGGTCATTACCTGTAATATGGCCACCTCATTCCTTAACTGGCTCTCCTGCTTGGTAGGAAATCTCATCTTGTCAATAACCTTGATGGCCACATCTCTACCACTCTTTCTGTGTTTCCCTAAAATATTATAAATTGTGGAAATAAATAATAGCCTCCAAGTTTAACACATTTCTCAGTGGTACCACATCAAAAGTGAAACATACCTCCATATACGATGCCAAACTGGCCTGATCCCAGCACCTCATCAGAGAAGATTTGGTATACTGAGGCAATATCCTGTGTAGACATGATTTGCACAGTTACCTAAATGTTGTGTTTTGCTTTTTACTTGTGGAAATATTTAGTTAACTTTCCATGCTGACACTGGCAATCAGTAAAGGTTACATCATCTGACGTCTGGCAAAACTGTTCCTCCTCCAAAATGTTTTCTGGTATTGCCAAATATTTAACTTTCACTTAATATAGAAGTGCAAAAAAAAAAAGTCTGCCACTTCCCCATTCATGCAGCATAAACACTTCCACTGGAGGTTTTAGTAAAAGAAACAGTAGGATACAATTTCTGATGTTACCGCAACAGCTACTAATAGCATATGAATGCATGCATATGCAGACTATGCTGGGAAATTGTGCAATAGCGTCTCAAAGAAATAAAAAAAAAGAAGACCCGCTCACCACATTCTCCTGGATCTGGCAGTTGGACACAGATATGCTGATGGACAGCTCTTCTGGAGGGGAAAATACATAATGTTTCCACATTCAACAACTGAAAAATGCCACTTTACCAATGCCAAAGCAGCCAATGAGTCCTTAAGTGAATGCAGTCAAAGGCATGTTGCTCACATAATAGTATTTCTTTTATTCACAGCTTTCCTTCTTATGCACGCAATAAGTCAAGGCACCACATAATGAAGCATTTTATTACATAATAAATTGGCTATAACATTGATCGGGGAAGTTATATGTGACTGAATGGTGAAAGTATGCAACGCTTTTCATAACTAAGACTTTTGACAAGGGCTAACAGTGCACACTAGCCAATGAATAGAAAGCCATTAATATGTAAAAGTAGAAACCATGATGTTGCAATCATTTAAAGAATGTTAAGCACAAATACTGCCTTTTAACCTGCGTCGGTTTTAAATGACAGAAAGCACCACATAAATTGGACTGGTATTTGAAGATGAACTATTACTCCACTAACGTTACGGATGAGTTCATCATCCTATACGTAGTAAGTGAATCCAACTCTAAGGGGAAAGGGCAGTCTTAAAGTGTGCTGTTCTATCTGTTTCAGATCTACAGCGTTCTGTGGCTAACTCGTTTTGTAAGGTCATGCCAACATTTAAAACACACCTCAAAATGGATGCATGACTCTTATGTGGATTTCAAATATACAAATAGATTTATAACCATAGAACTCAAATGATAAGACATGCACACTCAGTTCCTGCCTTTGTTGATAAGGATCTTCTGAATCTTAAGAGAATACTGTGAAGCTCAGTTTCTACACAGTCATGCCACTTCATTTTCACTGCTGTCAAACAGTGACCTGCCTCGGAGCCTTATTTGCGTTGGTCTGTAGACAATCACTCAGGGTTTCCCCTGCTCATCGAAATTTGAGTCAGGTCATCTAAATGGTTTTTTGACCACCTTCGGCAAACCTCAAACTTTCAACCAACATAATCAAAGTAAGCAACACCTCTCATGTAGAGGCAGGAAAAACCCTGTAAAATCACAGAACTCACAAAAAGGGGAAATTTAAACTCTTCACAAAAGGACTATTCTCCTCATTGCACACAGGATGACCACTGTGAAGTTCTGTGGTCATCATATAAAAACTATATTCTATATGTAACTAGATAACTATAATGCTAAGCAAGTGTCATCAGCTTTAGGCTCTTGACGCCCCATTGTGACAGTTAATACATGATTCATTCATTTTAAGAACAACCACACTTTAAAGAAAAGAGCAACATGGTATTTGAAATGTATTCCCAGTGTCATCCAGAGATGTTTTAATGGCTTTAGGACAAGAGAGCCGTAATACATTCTACTTACTGTGATCTTTGCCCTGGCCAGCAGCACTGGCCACACTGGGCTGAGGGGTGACGGGCATCAGGGCTTGTCTGATGGCCTTCTCCCATCCTTGAGCCACCTCCATGCCAACTCCTGAGGCGGCCAGAGCAGGGCTGTGGCAGTGACTGATGTTGTTCTCTCCTACATAGTAGACCATAGTGGCTGTGATGATCTCAAAGCAGTGGGGGTTGCTGCCCTGGGCCAGGTTACTGTAGTCTCTGGACTGTTCTACCTGAAGGATCTCGGACAAAGGGATTTCCTGCAGGATGTTTGACACAGACACAAATCAGTAACTCCATAAGTCTACATTCTGTGTTTCTCAAATAAATGACAGCCATACAGTTTCTATCAAGTGAGAGTTTAATTGTTTTTTTGTCAAACGAGGGGTTCTGCATTTCTATATGTTAAAAAGGCTTTTCAACAAACCAAAAACAGAAGGAGCCAAACACATACGTGCTTGTTCACATGTGTGCATTCATGCATTATACAGGTTATTTCCTTGGAAAGAGAGGTAAGAGTGTGGTGAAGAAAGGAAGATCCAGAAATACTACAGTACTACAGAATGTAACTTAAAGTAGCACTAGCAGGAAACGCCAAACAATCCACTCTGCACATGCTGTAGCTTTAAATAGATATCTCAATATATACATTTAAAAACTAAGATGAAACATGTTAACTAGATAGGTCAAAAACAAGTTTCTTTCTTACTTTTTAAAGCAGAAAAGATGCTTGCAAACCTGCAAAATATCTTGACAAATACACTGACACAGGTAGTATAACTCACAAACTCCTCGTCTCCACATTTAGTTACAGTATTGATTCTATGATCCCAGCTCTGACTTTGTCCTTTCCACTTCTCTGTCTTTTGAGCACATACAGGAAGGACGGCGCACTTTAAATGTTTCCCTTCCCCTTCAAGCTCATTGTCAAATCAAAGAGAGGAGGGTGGGCCAAAAACTTAAAAACAGAGAATCTCCAGCCAATAGGGGTTCACAGAGACACACGCTCTCCCCTCTGTGTGGCTCACCACAGAGTATCAGATGAAGTGCTTGTGGTTAGCGGGGCTGAGTCATGTGAGTGGGGCCCTTTGGCAGCTGAAGTGCTCTGGTTCCCTGATTACAAGGCAGGGCCAGCCAGAGGCCCCATCTGACCACGAGCCGCTGGCGCTACCGCTAGCCACCGAGACGAAAGGCATGGCAACTACTGTTCCTCCGCGGGCTAGTGTGTAAATGGGTGGGTTTCTGTGTGTGGGTGCAACGTTTGAATGTGACAGGACTCAGTCTGGCAGAGACAGAGAGAAGCCCCCTCACCTCATAAATGGTACTTCAGAGAAAGCCACAAATACAGGGGCCTTATCTTCAAACAGGGAACTGTTATGGGTTCCAAATGGCGAAAATGGCGAAAATGGCTGGCAAGCAAGCCATCACGCGACCACCGCAAATTAGACTGGGGGTATAAAGAAAAGGGGAGGACAGTGGCCACACACTGATGAGCAGCAGGGTAGAAACTTCAGAGAAATGAAAGGAAAATACCCAAGACAGACTGAGCATATGGACAATCTGTGGTTTCTGAAAAGAAACCTCTCAACAAAAACCTTTTCCTACTATATATACAGGAAACCCCTCATGCTATCTATCATGGATAAAAATCTGCTACTCTGAGGCAGCAGGCCTGGATCAAACACCAAACTGAAGCATGAAAAGAAGGCACTTACAGCTGGCCTTCAATTAGCTTCCTGAAGGGCTTAAACATACTGTAGCTGAGTGCCAAGTTGATAATAAAGAACCACATAAAGCTGCCAGTGAACATACTCAGAAGGGTCTTCTCCAAGCTTTGGTGGCAGGAGATGCAGGGCTGCAGATATGGCTGCATATAAAACTACATCTGATACACACACACACACAAAGTGAACATGCTAGTTCTGACCCTGGAAACTCTGCTGCATCCTATACATCTTCCCAAAGGGGTGTCAAAGTCTCAAAACACACAAAGCGACATGAACAAAAGGATGTTCACATCCCCCAGCCTACATGCACACACAATCACCAACACACACGTGAAAGTCTTTACCTTGCTGGGTGTAGTTCCCTCCCTCAGTCATCAGAGTGTAATTACTGTGCTATTCAACCCCTGGCGGCAACATAATGACTGACTTGCGGTGCTGGCACTGAGAGGGAAGTGTCACACACTCTCCACAACTGAATTTACACTTTTAAATTACAACATTTCACTGACAGCCACTGGTTGTGTAGTGTGTGTATGCCTCACTTCAGTGTTGGATTTAGAAACCTTAATCTTGATCCTTGTTTTTAGAATTTGACCAGAAGACATCAGTTTGTTTTAACTCCTGTAAATCCACTTTTCGTTACTTGGGGATCCCCTCTAGTCAAAATGTTTAACCTCTCTTTAAAACCACTTCAAACATCTCATCCGATCTGTTACACAAACACACGAACTGTTAGTGATTCTTTTCACTTCATGCAGGAACGAGACCAGCCTGCAGGGTAAAAAAAACCACAGGGGAAATTTCAGTAGGCTAAACTGACCTCAGGGCAGTTTACACTTGCAACACGGCGGCCCTTCTGACAGCTGAGTCACACAGATATCGCTGGTTAGAATTCATTTCCATAGTGTGACAGTCAATAGTTAAATATGAATATGAAAAAGACTCCCCTCCTCAGTGACTTCGGTATCAGTAGTTTGTATGAAATTGAACGAAAGAATAGTTGTGACTTTTCAATCCTATGAAGATAGTTTGAGGACTTTAAGGATATCACTCACCATGGACTCCACCGTGAAGCACCTTGTTTTATTTTCTAACACTTCAATCCATGTGAGTGTGTTTAATGTGAAGGACAAGGACATGATTTTCCAAGAACAAGGCAGGGATGATAGTTTTATACTTACTTTGTAGAACTTGGCTCCAGTGTCGTTTTGGAAAAGACTCAGACTCTTGCTGTCCAGCCTCCAGTAATGTCTCTTCCGCTGTTAAATGGGAAAACAAACATTGAGTTAGACCAAATCTACCATTACTGTAGTAGTCTTACATGTTGCTTCTCAAGCAAAATACCTTCTGTGCTCAATTCAACTAATGTGACCAGCTTTGGAGGAGGAGTCTGCCCCGGCATATAGTAAGCTAAACACAGCCCATTTCAATTAGAACTCTTCTGTTAGGCTTCTGGGGTTATCAGTCTTACCAAGTTGTCCCTGCTTGTATAATGAACCATCCAGCCTTCCTTCACCACTGTGGAGCTCCGCCTCTTGGTGTGTTTGATGGACTGGACCACACGCATCAGAGGGATGTTGCTGCTGGTGGAAGGGCTAAGTACACACACAAATTAAAGTTTTATCAGTATATTAGACAAATACTTACTTTTAGAGCTTATTATAATGAAACATTATATATACAAATACATTTGCTTTTCTAAGCAGTCTTGTAGGTCTTTTCTGACATAGGTTTTGTACAGGATGTGATATATTTCATGTTTAAAGTCATAGCAACAGTGGTAGAAACATAAAACACCAAAGAATAAATAAAGGAACTGGGCAGTTAGACCGGGTGTTTGAAAACATAACCACAGACTCCCCGGTTTCAATCAGGCTGGTGACCTTTGCTGCATGCCTTTCCCCTTTCTCTGTGTTTCCTGTCACTCTTTACTAAACTGCCCAATAAAGACAAAATGCCAAAAACAAAATATTTGAAAACAGAATTGCGTAGTTGGAATGAACAGTGGTAGCCATCATGGCTGAAGTAGCAAACAGTGCCACCTACAGAAATGTTTGCGTCATCAACAGATTTAGCTAGGACAGAATAAGTAAACATAGACAAGCTGTAGTAAAATCTGTATCTTTATACCTAATAGTCTTAATGGGCTCTTCATCCTTCTCTCTGTCCATGAAGGGAGATTCCATGTCGAACATCCTCTCATCTGGGGTGGACGGTTCTTCTGGGTCATCCAGTCCCCTGCTGCCATCGATATCACTACTGTCCACCTCCATAACATCCATGGTAGTGTCAGAGTCTGGGCCAGGGCTGACTGGCTCTACACATGCACATCACACATCCAAATATTATTTAACTCATTAGAGACATGGCCGTGTAACTGCAGCCCCTTTTACATTGCCCATAAGTTTTCCCCCAGTTGTCCACCTCGCCTTTGTGTAGAAAAGGTACAGTTTTGGAATTGGGGGGGGGTCAGTGTTGACCCTCCAAAAAGCCGCAGTGAGAGGTAGCATTTTTGCTGAGATGAGTTCACCCCACCTCCTGTACAAACAGGATGAGGTGAAATCGGAGGTTGGAGGTCCACGTGAGAAAGTGAGAGAGAGATCGAGAGAGCTAGAGAGTGAATGAAGAGAGAGAGCAGCATCAGGGCGAGCAAAGTGATTAGAAGAATTTAAAATTTATCTTGTGATTGTAGCCCTGCCCTCAAACACACACACACACCTCAAAATGGATGCGTGTAGTAGGCCGACTGTAAGTCCTGATTTCCTTTTATAAATATGTCAGACTACATCAGAAAACAGCCCCTTTGTTTCATTTTCAAATTGGCCACAAAGTACACAGACCATTGGATGTCACGATCAGCATCACGCCTCTAGCACCGGGATTCTGGCAGCTGTGTAAAATGAACACACAAGTGGCAGTTTGCCAGCTTTTTAAGTTCAGTGTATAAAACCAACCTTGAAGAAGTGTAAAATCACTGACAGTTTACCGTAATCTCTGTGTAAAAGGGGCTTACAGAATTAGAACCTACCGCCGTTGAAGTCCACCTCCCCTAAACAGTCTCTTGGTATCTTTGAAGCACACCGCTTATGGCAGTTGAATCTGCAGTCTGGAAATGAAATTTTAAAAATGACCCAAACACACAGCATTCATGGAAAAGCATCACCAAAACCTTCTAAATTTCAACATTTGAATTTTGGGAACATGCGCTTCATATGAAGTCCTACCTTTACACTGCATGCCTTGGCGAAATAGACCCTTCAGCAGACGCTTGCAGTACTGGCAGATAGTGGGACGAGTGTAAGTGTGAATGGCAAAAGTGTGTGGCACCTTAACCCGCCCCAGCACCATCTTCTCCATCCAAATAGGCCTGCCGCTCCAGGACAGGATCCGCTTCCCTGGCTCCTGATGGGGCCTTTGCTGCGGGGGTAGCACGGATGGAAAAACGAGGAAGATGGAGGGAGGTTAGGAAGAATTAAAAACCATATGCAGGAAAGAAGTGAAGGGAAAAGCGAAGGAAGAACAGCCTCAAAGGGAGTATGTGAGTGTTAGGGGAAGACAGAATGAATAATGAAATGGCAGGGCCAACGAGAGAAAGAAATCAGTGGAGAAGGGGAAAAATAAATGTGTCATTCTGAGTTAGCATGACGATCACAGTGTTTGATACAAGCTTATTCTACTTGTCATGTTTTACCACATATGAGCATTTACTTATGATTTTAAATGAATAAATGACTGGAAGCTCCTGACCCAAATGGGAAGGAAGCTTTCTTCACTGTTGCCAACAAGGGATACAAATACAAAGGTCATTAACATAATCACATTTCCTGATGACCTTTAGCGAGGACATAGACAAGAGGAGAATATTCCAGTGTGGGGCTGATACAAAGACTGTTTCATAAGGCCTCGCTGAGGATCTCTCCACAGAGCTCTGAGCAGCTCAGTTCAGTTTTCCACATCAGTTGTGTTCTACAACAGGGCCCAGTAGATTCACCCACGGAAAAGAGCCAAATCTGATAAGTCAAGAAATGTTTAACAGCATGCAGATTCTTGGCCAGTTCACCTGGCTTCCGGTCTGATTTAGAATTATGTCAGCCCAGCGAGCCTATTTTATGGAAGAAGAAAAAAAAATCATCTCCCCCCATTGATTAGGTTAAACTAGGTTACAGTGCTCTTTGAGGTTGAACCTTAATATCCAAGCAGATAAAATCATACTTACGTAAACTACACTGAAAACCTCTGAAACACATCTTTATCCACTAAATCTCATTTTCAATAGTATTTTCTAAATTTATTGTGGGGTGTTCTTATGGTACACATCATTGTTTTATATATGAGTCCCTTAATTGGTTACCTTTTAAGTCTAGGAGACATTTTCATTGATTTCTTTTTGTTTTTAAATTGTCCATTATACTTAAAATGATTTTTGGCTCTGCACAGTTCATTTTATTTACTTAGAAACAATCAATACCCTTACTTTGTTGTGTCATTTACATCTAAAGAATTTGGGAGACAGGATTTCGGATTCAAAGCTCCATCAGATTTGAATAATTTACCTAATTCGCTTAGATCTATTACTTCTTTTCATATTATAAGGCTTCTCTGTTTGTTTGTCTTACTTGTTCCTGCTAATGACTGTACATTATATTAGTTGTAGGTAGATATATAATGTGTACTTGTTTATTTTTGTTGTTTTAATTGGTGAAGTAATGTTTTGTTTGTGTTGGTTTTGTTCAATGATATTTGATGGCAGATATTGTGGCGGGCGGTAGGATTTGTTGGAGAATTTTTGGACCTGTTTTGTTTGTTTCTTGTGTGTTTGTGCTGTTTACTTGCTGTTGTTTGTTTGTTATCTACCTGCTGTTTATTGCTATTTATGTATCTGTGTTGTTTTATTATGTGTGGTAAGTGTCTGTTGTGTGTTGTACAACAGGAGACATCTCAAGGGGCCTATCCTCTGATCAGGTTAAGCAAATACTTATAATAGAGCTCACCTCATCCAGGACAACCACGACATGCTCATTAGGTACCAGTCGGGGGACAGACAGGGACTGTGCAGGCAATGAGACATTGGACAGTCGCCTCTTCCTGACACCAGAACAGTTATTTGGGATCTTAAAGGCGCAGCGCTTGTGGTAGTTTAGCCCACACCCTTCAACATGAAAACACACACAGCATCAGTCACAAGAACAAGGAAAACAGTACAGCAGCCTGTGAGATGATAACAGATGTTATTTTGCAAGGCAGCCACAAGATGGCCCCACTTAAGGATGGGTTTCTATAAGTGAATTTAAGACTACAAATGTTCCACAGGTAAATAAATCAACTATTTAAACTGAATTCATAGTTAAAGAAGGCTTCAAATGCAGCCTAATGACTTTAAAATGAATGAGCAGAATTCATATCTGATTCAACAGTGAAAAACAGAAAGGCAAGGCGGCGTACCATAACTCCACTGGGATCTGAATGCCAAGCTTTTCACTGGCTACAGCGCCTGAAGCCAAACCTTCTTTTTGCTTGTACTGTATGTGAAGTCAGAGATCTGGTGTGTTTGTGCATGCATGTGTGTGTGAATACAGTAATCACTGAGGTATAGTGAGATGTGGAGAAGTCAAAGGCTTGGCAAAGACACAGGGTGTTCTGTAGTATTCACCCAGGTATAAGTGTGTGTGTGGGTCTCTAACCTTCACATTTGAGCCCCTGACGAACCAGACCCCACAGCATCTCCCCACAGTAGTCACAGAAGGTGGGGGCCTTGTAGGAGTGGACAAAAAGGGCATGGGGTCGGATCTGGAAGTCTTCAACTGTGGCTTGAGCTGGAAACAACACACAAGTGGTTTAACTAAAACTAGGCAAAATCAAACAAATACAGAAAATGTTTTTTAAGAAAACCAAAGGATCAGAAAAGAACAACGACTGGAAGGGGGGGTGACAAAGGAATCAAAAAGGCAAGAAGAGAGCAGATGTTTATTAAGGGATTTGGACACAATTTCAAACAGCTTCTAAAATTAATGCAATATTTCAGACAATGTACAGTCTCACTATATGTGTGTGTGAAGATGTAGGGACAAAATTAACTGCAAGCAAACTCTCATATGAGCCAAGTATGAGTTATATTCACATTGCTGCACTAGAGGGCACTTTCATCATTCTTAGTATCAAAGTGAAAGGGAAAACCCCTAATACAGCAGAGAAATATGATCCTGTAATATCAGTCCATTTCTGTTAACATGCACATACTGTAATATCAAATAGACTAGAGCTGTGGATATACCTCTATCTCTGTTTGCCTTTGTTGTTCCTTTATTATTCTGTTGTTTTGTGTCAAACAGACACACTGGAAGATATTGAGGCTCCTGCTGCTAATCCTGTGTGTATGTGCGCACAAGTCTCTGAGCCTGCAAGCATTTCTGTGTAATCATTTATGTGGCTGCAGTTACCAACAAGGGAACAGTTTGTCTTTAACATTCGGGTTTAACAAAAAGACCTGCATGGTGGCAGTGGCACTGTCATATAATGAGGTCTAGTTTATTTCCTTTGTGGTGATTCAACCAAACACATTTTATCATCAACAACTAACAACATTCTCAGCTGTTGTAGCTATGATGAGATGCAGGCTTGAACAACTATGACATGTGGCCAGTAACAAAAAGAGCATTTCCTTTGCTAAAAATTTACACATGCTTTATATAACAATGGAAAAAAAAACATCCTTGAAGAAAGAAATCCTCACAGGCAATAAAAAGCCAGTCCCACTTCATCAATCTGATCCATGAATTTGACAAAAGAATGCAACATTTCCAAAAACAGGAGAGGTCAAAGAGTCAATTAAAGGGTCAAACAAAAGAAAAAACAAATTAGAATCTATTTTTCTGTATGTTTTTAAATCACTGCAATGAAACTTTCAGATGTAGTATATTTATGTCCAAAGTTCAGTAAAAAAGGAGGTCACCCAAGATCTGTGATCTGAGATCTGAGATGAGACACTTTTCTTCATTTCAGAGAAATACAAAGGCTGGTGTGACAATGTTCGCAGGCTGGATTTGATTTGAAACAGAAGAAAGAGCTCAGGCAGGTCACATGTCACGGGGCAAGCATAGCTCCCTTGCACACACGCATAAAAAGCAGCATTCAAAGGCTTTTTCACACCCGTCTGTAAAACAACTGGCTGCTTCTTAGCACTCACTGTGTTATGTAATGCTTGTCATGCCAATTAGCATCAAACAACACTGCACATAAACTCAACACAATGTTTTTCTCACGAGGGGAGAGGCTCACATTAACGTGCTTTGGGGGCACTGAGGTTCCATTTGGGGGGCCCCAAGTTTCCGTCTGATAAAAACAAGCTTGCCACATTTATGACAAGTAGATATGGTAAAATATCAATTTCACACAGAATAAGAAGTCTGTGCATACGGGTGGAAATTTAAGGGAGTGAAAAACAGAACAAAGGGACAATCGGTCAGGCCAAACCTCAAACCTCATGGGCTGAGATGGCCTGCGCAGTGTTGGCTGTGTCCAGGACCGCCCCGCACATCAGAGCATGTTTACTCTCTGTGGGTCTACTACAATCACTTACTGCAGGAAAAACAAGCCCTCTTCTTTGAGCCCGCAGCCAAGAAAAAGCCACTTTTGCCTCCCCCTTGCAGCGGGAGAGATATTCAGACCATCTCTCTCCCACAGCCACAGAATCCAACAACAGGTTGGTTAAGGAAAACTGAGCAGAAGATGACAGGAGACAAATTGTGGGGCGGAAAAGGTTCATATTTTCTCTGAACCAAATGAAAGGCCTGGGAATGTGCATCTCTCAGCTTGTGCTTCTCAAACAAAGATCAAGTGTCTGACATAGCAAAGCTCTTCTCATGAAGAAGGCCAAGTTCACTGAGTGTTAGATGAAATTTTAAAAAACTGCATGCGCTGCATTTGTAGCAAAACTGAGATCTGTGCTGGATTTCACCAGGTACTATATCTGATCATCAGAATATAAACTGTCTAGCTTCCATATGCACATAGATTTGCTGAGGTAGGAGGGATTAGAATGAGAGAAAGCAGAAGAGAGGAAGAGAACAACAAAGACTGACACAAAGGAGAGCACAAGACAAACACAGACAGTCAGAAACAAAAAGAAGGAAGTTCCCCAGTCTGTAGTCTACATTCATCGGCCCTGATTCCTGAAGTATCTTCAGATCCTAAACCTATACAGTCATCCTCTGTTAAAATCCCTGCAAACAATAGTCTCAGCCCAGGAGAGGGGGTATTTGGCACAGGTGGTGTCAGGTGTTTCACGGTGGAGACAGATGGAGCAGGAGAACAGATTGAAGCAGAAAAGCTACTCTAAGCCATTTGTTGGTCTCAGCACCACACAGGAAGCCGATGCATTCATCGCAGGAAATGACAAAGAGAAACTAAACACCTGTGTAGCCGCTACAGAGGTGGGTAATCTGACGGAAACTTTGAGGAGGAAGAAGGAAAACAAAGCACATTTATATCAAAAAATCAAAAGCAGGTGAATGAGTGAGTGGAGTGCTGAGTGATTCACCAACAGACCACAGGAATAATACTTCATTTTGACAGTGACATTCCGCTGAGTACAGAGGGCTTTCACAGCATGTATCTGACCCACTGACCAAGACACAGTATGCTGTGTTTAGTGGAAAGTGTATATGACTAGGCACAATAATGTACCGAGGGAACCCTGCTCCAATGTATTACTTTCACACCACTGTTTGGACTTTAAGACACTTAGTTTGGTGAAATTATATGTTTTGGAAATGTGAAGAAGCATGACTAAGTTTGTTTGATTTGAACATAAAGAGACTTAAACAAAGATGTGGTAGAAAAATCACTGTGTTATAATTTGACAGTGTTTGCGATGGCATGAGTGTAAGAAGGTAAATAAAAAGTGACCAGTTCTTATACCATAGCCTTTCTCCTTTTATAAACACACAAGTCAACTATTGTGATGGTCTGCTGCTGGTTTTCTCTACAATTAGATCAAAATGAGCATTTTTATGTCTGCAGCTGCTTTCACACTATTGTATTTAACATTTAATAAGCAAGCCCCTATAAAAACACTACAGCTATTCACAACAAGAGATACAAACTTTGCAACTAAGATCTCTGGTTCATTCCTTTTGATTTGTCAAAGTAACATCCCTTAAAGTTTTACTTAGGTGATGGTTTTTTCCTCACAAGGATGTTACTGTAAGTAGCAATTCATTTTAGTACTACTTGTTTGTTCATGTTTTAAAACTACAGTTTGTGACTTTAAGTAGCACTAGAATGAAACTCCAAGTCAATCCACTGTGCTCCACCCAGCACTCCCTCCCCCTGCTCCACTCTGCTCTACTACAATCTGCTACGCTCCACCAAGCTCTGCAGATATTTTTGTCTTTATGAAATTATAATAAATGAGAATGCAACAAAACTTACTGATCAAGCAGAAATTACTGAAAATCTCTGACTGGTTAGGTAATACATTATGTATTAACTTACAGTTTGACTGCAGCTTACATACCCGAGAGCACCACCTCAATGAGGTCTCCTTCATGGATGTCCTCTGCCGAGGTCAACCTCTGCAGGATGTTCTCGTCATTTAGGTTGTGGCGGAACAGCAGGATCTTGTCGTACATACCGAAGAACCCGCACTCTGGGAACTAGACAGAGGTGGAAATATAAGTGAAGACACAAGTGTAGTAAAGATGCAGTAAAGTACTAAGCCCAGTATATAATGATAGGGGTAATGTGTGTGTGTGTGTGTGTGTGTGTGTGTGTCACAGTGTCTAAACATTCATAGTGACTGCACTGTGGTGGGTCCATATCACATAACAGAAAATAGACAAAGAATGAGAAATCGATGTACTTGAACCCCTTTTGCCTGACTCATAATCTTTTCTAATGTAAACCTCCTGTAAAAACACACAAGCAAGGACACGCTCATATTCCTGTGTCTTACATTTTGAGACTAGTGGCTCACGAAGAGAGCTCCTGCTCAGACCTCCTATCTTGCATTCAGAGGAAACTAGGTGTGAGTTAAATAGGAGCCCACCATGAAAAAGACCCATGAATAAGAAGTGGTAATGTCTGTTTTCTAAGAAAATCCTGAGTCTTTTATTTCACATTGTTTCCAGGAACACAGTGATTGGTTTTTGCAAACAGGAAATAATCATGATAAACTAATTGCTGTGCTGAACAACAGTGCATAAGGTGCATGTTGTAGGAAGCGTACACACACACACAAAAAAAAAACCCAAATCACCCAGCATGACCAAGAACCCCAGCGCAGCAGTCGCCTTCACTTACGATTTCTGGACAAACCAAACGAAACCAAACCGAACTGAATCGGACTGGGTCATAAAGACATGTGATCAAGGATGGGGGCAGGGAGGAGGGTGGCGGAGGGAGATGTGGAGGAGGAGGGGGAGGAGGAGGTAAACATCCTGAGAGGAGTAGAGGAGAATCAGTGCAGAGGAAGTGTAGCGCCAGTCAATACTGAGTCATTTCCTGTACTCAGGGCAGCTCATAGCATCATGGAGTGCAATGGTCTTGACCCTTGGAAAGATCTACAGTAAAATTATGTGAACATATATACAGAAATTAAGGAATTATCATTTGCAAATAACTACTGAGAGAATCCACAAAACCTAACTTTTATAGTTGAAGCTTGCACAAAGAAGTATCCTGTTTTGCATATCAAGGGGAATGTGCAAACAATCTCCTGCATGTAACATTTCTTTTGCAAACCCAACAATGCAGTAAAACTGATTTGCACTGTTTGTATCAAAGTGGGACAATGTCATTTTAAACCAAAGCATGAGCACAGTCTTGATGCCAGTCAGGCTGGTCCTTGCGGATCAACCAGCTGTTTCCCTCTAAAACAGGGCCATGCACAATGGGCCACACAAAACAATGCCACTATGGCCCAGGAGCACTGGAGCTGGCACGGTGTCTAGCCACGAGACACTAAAGGCACCTGGAGCCTTTTAACTGCCAAAAAACACAGCTACAGAAACAGCAAGACAGATTGATGCCTCTGGAAAACATGGGTGTATCAGATGAGTAGTGTCAACAAAGCCAGAAGGATGAGCCATCAGGAGGCAAAAATGTAATTGTGTACAGAAAGAGATGATACAGAGGGGACTACTGCTTGAACAGAGAGATGCCAATAAAGACGCTCTGCCCCTACCTGCACTCTGAACAGGGACCAGTAAAGTATAACAGCATAACACAAAACATCACTTCTTATACAGCGAGACTCCCCAGGCACTGGGTGCTTAGAATAAATAGCACTCACATTTCTACAGGTTCACCTCATGAATAAACATGTATTTTAAGCATCATTATGCATCATTATGGGGCAGCTACATTGCCAATGACATAATTTAAGGCATATCGCATCAATCAGTCAGTAACTAGGAATTGTTTCTGGAAAGATACACAACTATTGAATGCTCCAAATGTAATATATATTCAATTGATCTCAGATGTGTTGGCATGGAGGTAGATAACTCACTGGCAGATACATATCTCATAACTACAACTATCAGTATTGCTAGATACTACAAGGGGCTAACTGGAAAATATGTTTCTAATGTAATTTGGGTGAACTGACCCTTTAAACAAATATGGCAATTCAATATTAAGTGAATTTGAGTTGAATTACTGCATAATGTCCCTGTCATAATTCCAAAAAATAAGAACGTAAGTAAGACCGGTCATTCCCAAATGTGGGTCATCTGAGGTAAATACTTGCACGTATATGGTGAAATAATATACCTCTTTTTTTACTATAAAAAGGATACTTCACTTAAAGGTAGTCGTTTCAAATCCATTGCGGGTCTTTCTACAGGGAGTTTGCATGTTGTCTTATTATTATTTCAGACTTTATTTGGGTGTTTCAATTTTCTCTCCCAATCAAAAGAAGGGCATGCGATGTTGTCTTATTATTATTTCAGGCTTTATTTGGGTGTTTCAAAATTCTCTCCCAATCAAAAGAAGGGCATGCAGTGATATAATGTGTGTGTCAACCTTGTGATAGACTGGGACTATGTCTCAGTTATATCTCCCCTCTCACCCTTTGGATGCTGGGAAAATCTCAGCGAGGAGGGATGTAACACTCACACCCTTCCTTATGTTATGTTGTAACCATATGGCAATGTAACATTATATTAACAGCATCAAAACTGGAGTCAGAGTTTAACAGAAACAGTCTGTGAGGAGAAAGTCTTGCCGAGTATCTGAGTGGAACATAAAGCATGTGCCTGTATAATGGAACATTTCCAGCTCAATCCCACCTTCTGACATACCTACATCCTAAACCTTGTCAACCTCTGAGGTGACTAATGGTACATGGCCCAAACCGTCACCCCCGCAGACAGGGGAAGGGGGGGCAGGCATCCTTCCTGAGCAGGCTGCAGTGTCATGGTGGGGTTTTCCTCCACTTACCTGACACACCCACTCTCCAACACACACACATAAATTGCAGTCCATGCCCAAATCTAGCCAGCTGGAGTCACCCCCACTTGGCACTTGGTGCAACACTTTCCACTGCATAGAGCAGGTCCCATTCCAGAGCTGGAGCATCTGCATGTAATGGCTGCAGGGGAAGAGGACACTACTTTTTTCCAAGATCCATCAAAGAAAGCGGAAGCCAGAGGTACAAGAACAATAGATTTCCAGGTTTAGGGCACATTTTAACAGTACTTGGTTCAGATCAAAGAGATAAAGTGATAATTGATGGCTAACCTGTAGGAGCACACATGCATACAAGCAGAAATCACACGTTTCATGTATGTTTTCTCCACCCAACATGCATGCATGTAAGAATAAACCACCACCGTGCTCCTGTACACACCATCACCCACACATGCTACTGCATGATCTCCAAAGCCCATAGTGACTAAGCATGTCTTTTGTCGTCTTCAAGCGCAAATCCAAGCCGAGCAGCCATGACCACACACGCACACCAAAGACCCCAGCATGGAGGAGCTGTGTGTGAGGTCCACAAGTCATGCTGGAAAGACGAGTGGAAAGAGGCTTTGCAGTAGTAAGCTATTGTTAAACAAACTAATCCGCCATTGATATGCTAAATCCTGTTATAAGGAAAGAGGGTGAGAGGCGAAGAAAAGGGGAGAGAGGGAAGATTGTGGGGGAGAGCGGGTCAAGGAGCGGGACAGATCTGAAATATGGTCCTATTTTATTGGGTGCCAAAAAGAAATTATCTCACGATAGCCATGAAAAATGATTTGGCTTGAATAACCAGCTGCACCATTTGACAATGAGGAATATCAGTTGCACTGACATTCCCTGAGATGCCCTGCCCAGGGATGATTTTTGCTGTGGTTTGGTTTGGCACTATACATATATAACTGAATTGAACTGAATTGAAATTCTCAAAACAATAAAGTAAAAAAAAATCTAATGAATGACTCATCCATGTACGTTTAATAATAAAA